AAAAGTATGGCATATGAGAGATGTGGAGGGAATTTTATAATTAGTTATTTGCAAATGCTGAGAAAAAGCCTTTAGAACTTTTAACAGAATCTGATCTGATAGACTTTGGAGAAATTAGCAGTATCTTCATAAGGCAAGAAGAAAAGCTGAATTGGCGTCTTCACAAATGCATGTAACCCCAATTTAGCCACTTAGCAACTTCATGCTGTGTGCTGCACAGTCACTGTTGGAAACAGTTTCATTTCTACTCTGATTCCCAAACACACACCTGGCCTTCTTTCTCTGAGCAGGTGCCTTGCCATGTTTATTTACAGAGAGAAGCTTTATTTACAGCTTGAACTCTCTCAACTTTTCACCTTCTCAGCTCCAGCCTTCAGGTCTCTTGGCTCTTCTTTCCTGTTCAAGAGGAGGGAAACATACCTTCTCAGCCTTCCCACCAGAGTTCTCATACTCCTCCTCCGCCCTCACTCTTCTCGGAAACTTCTATTCAGCAGACATCCTATTGCTTGGCTTTCCATCTCTCCATATTTACTGAGGCTGTCTTTTCAGTTGAAAAGCAAGCCAAAAGATAACCATTAAAAAATGAAATCTTAAAATTGCTAGAAGAAAGCACTAATATAAAATATTTTGTAGTGTGAGACGTCTTTTAATTGGGCATGAAATTAAAAAAAAAAAGTAACAAAAAAACCCATCAAGGAAAAGATCAATAAATTCAAAATAGGAATATTTTTCAATATCTTAATAAAAATCATAAACAAATCAAAGCCTAATAACAAACTGATAAAATTACTTGCATCATAAAAAAAATTCGTTACTTTGCATAAATGAATAGGACAGATGGTACTTATTTTCTTGGGAACTCTAAAGATTCATGCTCTAACAGAAGTGTTAATTCATTGAAGGCCAACCCAATGCCACAGAACCTCAATAGTCCCACTGTGTGAGCAAAAGCCAGTAACATTCAGTACCAAAGGTTATGTAGTCCTTACCTGGTAGCTTTTACTTTCAACTGCTTTCAGGAAATGTCCTTTCAATTATCTGCAAATGTTAAATCTTCTTTAGAGTAAGGGTTTCTCCAATTGGACATTTTGATATCTTTCTCCAAGATAGCACTGATTTACTGTTCCCACTGAAATAAGAGTAGACTTTGATTATCTTTATGACTCAAGGAGACATTATTGAATTACGAAACATTACTATGTCTTTTTCTATAGCTCCAGAAAATGTTATGTCTCAGCAAAAATTAGTATACGTTCATACATTCAATAAATATTTATGAGGGCCTCCTATAGTAGGCACTGCATGTATGTTATGAGACACAGTGGTAGCTCTCAAGATAAGCCTGATAAATATGGACTCTGCCTTCAAGGAATTCTCTTGGTGCTGGGTGACAAGACACAGGCATGTAAAGAAGGATGGCACAGGACATATAATGGCCCCTAAGTAAGGTAAATGAAGACTCTTAACAGGTTTCCTAAGAGGAAGTGACCAACCTTAAGAATTTCTGCATTAGCAATTTTATTACTTCATTTTGAATCCCAAAGCTCCAGGGAAAACCTTACTGTGGGAGACCATCTGAATGTAATAAAAATAGCTACTGAGGAGTCCCTAAAAGAAAATATTCAAACTGTCGCATCTTTCTGGAACTGAAGATGCCACCTAGACTCAACAACACCCATCCAACACAGCTACCTAGAGTCCCGAGGATGGTCTCTTCTAGGCGGGGTTGTCAGGTCCCAAGTCTGGGTAATTGTCATGCATTTATGAGGTGCTGCAGTTTTAAAAGAATGTTTCCATCCATTATCTGTTGTTATCCCCAGGGACAAGGCTGGAACCAAGAAAAGGGCAGCCAGGACACCAGGATTCTAATTCTGCTCAGCTCTCTCTGATGTAAATGAGGGGGTTGGTCACTAGATTCTCTCTCTCCAAGGTTCCTTGTATAGGCAGGTAGTACAAATTTTCTTATCACCACTTAATAGCTAGGGAAACTAAGGTCAGCAGCCCTTAAGGGACTTGCCCACGTTTTCAGGTAATGATAGATATTCAATACTTGACATTAGGAACCAGGCTTACAAGGACAAATCATTTTCTACTGGACCATACTCAAAACCACACCTAATGTGTGCAAGAGGAAAAACAGAGGCCCACAGAGCATTCATCTAAGTATTTAAGTTATAAATTAAGATAAACTAAAAAAAAAAAAAAAAGGGGGCTAGGTGTGAACTATGAATTCTGACTCCTCCAAGGGCCTTAGGAGAGCTGGGAAAGGAGCGCTGACTCCACCTGACCCCTCTGCCTACCCTAAGGAGGGACCCAAAGTGCCAGGAAGGGCACACACCTCGGCCGGTAGGTCCAAGCACTGTGTACACTCCGACGGAGACCCACTCCTGGACGCAGGGGAAGTTCAGGGGCCCAGGCAGCTCCCGACAGAGGGTTTGGTTCTATTTAGGTAGGGGATTCCAGAATTACAACGACCAGGACCAGGGTCTAGAGGAGGGTTCAGGCTCTTTGACCTGCAGGAAGGGGCGGAGCCCGAGGAGAGCAGACAGGGTGGTGGTGGACTGAGGTCCCTTTTGCTTGGGTTTAAGAGCCAGTCTGATCACACTACCTGAACATTCAACCTAGGAGTAAAATCTGGGACCCTTCTTGTGTAATAGTATGGATGGTTGGTGTCAAGCAGCCAAACACCTGTGACCCCAGCTTGGCCACTCACTAGCTATGAAATCTCAAGTTACTGAAGATCTTACAGCCTCAGTTTCCTCACCTTAAAACAGATATTATAACTACTCTGAGGATTAAATAAGAGAGCACGTGCAGAAAGGCGTGGCAGACATTACACTCTGGTTAAAGGTTGTGAGGTTCTCTCCAGCTGTGTGAGGTGAATTGTCTCAGAAAGGTTTATCTGGGGAATTATATAAGCATAATTACATACAAGCACTCTAATCATCAAAGTTCAACCCCTCTCTCCACTACACAGCAGGGCCAGGAGCGGGGGTGGGCACCATCCCCCCCCCCCCCCAAGGAGCAGGCTGCTGCCGCCCCTGTCCCGCGGGTCGCGTGGCCCAGGACTTCAGACCGCAGACGCGCCCAGCAGGAGCCGCGGCCAGGGGCTCGGAGGAGGTTAACTCGTGAGCGTGGCGTGAGTCACGGCGGGGCTCGGGAACTGAAACCGAGTGTTAGCACACAGCGCACTTCCTGGCTCATCCCTGCGACGAGGACGTTTAAACCAATGTGGAATGGTTTCGGGTAAGACAAGGCAGGACACGGAGCCGGGGTTGACGCAGCTCGGTCCCCTCCCCCCCTTCACCTTGGAGCTCACGCTAACTTTGCTAAGCCCTCTGACAGGTCTCAACATCGCTCCTCTACCCGGAAGGAGGGAGCCTCGGAGGCAAGTCGAGGCATCTCCCTCTCACCTCCCGTGAGCGGGAGCCGAGCCAAATCGGGCGACTGCCGGCCCAAAGCGCAGACGTTTTCTAAGGGCAAGCCTGGGCATTCCCCGACCCCTCCGGGTGGAAAGAATTCAAAGTGGCTCCTTTTCCCATCGTAGCCTCCCTACCCCTTCAGCAAGCAAAAAGAAAAACAAAAACAAAAACAAAAAAACAAAAACGCACGAACAAACAAAAAACAAACAAAAATCTTGCAAACTTTGCTGTTGCTTGTGGACCAAGAACTAACCAGCCCTTTCTGCTCCCCTTAAGGGACAGTCGTGACTGGGCACAGAGAAGTCAGACGCTCTGGAAAACACCAACAAAGGACTATTTTTAGCTTTGAGCTCTCCGCCTAAATTCCTCTTATTTTTGCACTCTTAGCTTCAAAACGACTAGGCTGGGGAAGTGGGAGGAAGGGGGCGGGGAGCAGCAGAGAAAGAACAGCTGTGCCTCCGCCTCTTAACTCAATCTCTATAAATAACCAATCACGAGCGGAGGCTACTTTTTAGCCAATGAAGCAGCCCAAACTGACAAAACCTTGGCGGTAGCCAATGGGAGGACACTTCAGGGTGTGAGATTTGCGCCCCGCGACCAATGTGTCCCCAGTCTGGGAGAGGTAATTTGAGCTGGAGTGTGGGTGTGTGGTGCAAAAGCTTCCTGCTTCAAGCCCGAAAACCTGCTCTACCCACTGAGCATGCCCTGACTAGCTGCGGGCGCCGCCGCCACTGACGGACTGGGTTGCATTCCGGTCTCCGCGTTTTGGCCCTAGCCCCGTAGGGAGGTAGGTGGGACCCGCCAAGTCCTAGCCCCGAGAGGGCTTCAGTCGCTAGAGCCTGCCCCTTCCTTCCTCGGGACAGCGATTCAAGCACAGTAGTCTCGTTTTCTTTGTCCGGGGGATGTAGCGCAGGAAGCGTCGACCAGTATTTTTGAGGCAAACTGTTTAAAAAAAAAAAGCTGCGCCACTGGTGGGAGAAGATGCTTTCACCCGGCGCTCCTGCAAGCGAATGTCGTTTGGGTCTCCGGCCCCGAGACGCATCCCGCTGGGGCTCGGGGAGTGGATCCCAAGGACTTTTGATTACGGGAGTCAGCCCCAGCCGAACCCGCGCTATGCCGAGGTGACCGCCGCGCCCACACACTTCTCGTAGAGCTCCCACCGTAGGCACAAAGCCCAGAGCCATGAGAAAGGACACCCTCCATCGTTCCTGGTACCAGAGCTTTCCCAGCCCCCTTCCAACACCTCCACGACCTCACACGTTTCCCATCCGGCTCCTAGAATCCGCTCCTCCAGACTCGAATCTCGAGCCCCGCCCACAGCCCCGCCCCTTGGCGGCCCCCTGGAAAACCAGGAATGGTGAATCCAGCGGGCGCGGCCGGCGGCGCACTGGGCATGCTCGCCGGGGCGGGGAGGGCCGGGTTGCGCGCGGCGAGTAGGAAGCCCTCGCCCCGCGGAGGCTGCGGTAGAAAGCGCGATGGGCCGCGGTAGTGGGCACACGCTCTGCAGGAACTCATGCCACGCGCGTCCTGGGTCGGCGCGCAATTAGCAGCCACCTCCGCAGCCCGCCGCCACCACGTCCCCGCCCTCCCGGGCTGCCGCGACGAGGAGCTGCAGCCGTCGCCTCGCACCGGCTGCCGGCATTGTCCTCCCAGTCCGCCGCCAAGGCTGCCGCTGCCGCTGCCACCGCCACCGCCACCGCCACCGCGGGCTGCTGCGGGGCCCCAGACCCGCGCCGCAGAAACGCGCTGCCGCCGCCGACGGGCCGGGCGCCCAGTTTCCGTTTGCTGATTTCTGCGCCCTGCACTCCCCAGCCACTCTGCTAGGTTTTTTCTGCGGAGCTGAGGAAGGGGAGAAGTCCAGCCGCCAAGCCTAGCCTCTCCCAGGCGCGCAGCCCCGACGGGGCCGCGGCAGGCGCGGCGAGAGCGCCGACGGAGCCATGAGAGAGTACAAAGTGGTGGTGCTGGGCTCGGGCGGCGTGGGCAAGTCCGCGCTCACCGTGCAGTTCGTGACCGGCTCCTTCATCGAGAAGTACGACCCCACCATCGAGGACTTCTACCGAAAAGAGATCGAGGTAGACTCGTCGCCGTCGGTGCTGGAGATCCTGGACACGGCGGGCACGGAGCAGTTCGCGTCCATGCGGGACCTATACATCAAGAACGGCCAGGGCTTCATCCTCGTCTACAGCCTCGTCAACCAGCAGAGCTTCCAGGACATCAAGCCAATGCGGGACCAGATCATCCGCGTGAAGCGGTACGAGCGCGTGCCCATGATCCTGGTGGGTAACAAGGTGGACCTGGAGGGCGAGCGCGAGGTCTCCTATGGCGAGGGCAAGGCCCTGGCTGAGGAGTGGAGCTGCCCCTTCATGGAGACGTCGGCCAAAAACAAAGCCTCGGTGGACGAGCTGTTCGCCGAAATCGTGCGGCAGATGAACTATGCGGCGCAGCCCAACGGCGACGAGGGCTGCTGCTCGGCCTGCGTGATCCTCTGAGGCGCCCGCGGCGCGCCGGCTGCGCTTTGCGCACAAAAGCCAAACGCACCCGACTCTCTAAATGTGATTTCTCTTCTTGCTTTGAGATTGGAGACGACTTTGCATTGGCCGGGATGCCCCAGGAACCCGGCTGGCCTCTGCGGCCGACGTCCCCTGCCTCCTCCCCGCGTCAGAAGGGGTGTCCGGTCCTGACCATCTGAGACCCAGTGGAAATGTGGCTCTTTGCAGCATGTACGTTTTTCATTGATTTTGGTTGACGCATATTACCCCCTTTAAATAACCGTTAAGGGCGCTGTATTGGCAGCTTGACACCAGCAAGCGAAAGTTTCAGCTTGGAAAAAATGGGGTGGGGGAGGAAGAGGACAGGGAGAAGGTGGAAGTGGGGGTTTTTTTGTTGCTATTTTTTGTTTTGTTAACAACCGTTTTCCAGTTCCAAGTTTTAAATACGTGGAAGGAAGTCCAGGAGAACCAAATGAAGGAGCTGGAGGAGAGGAAGAAACTTTTGTTTTTTCCTTGTTTTCCAGGAGTAGCTGGAAATTAAGGTCGGGTTCCTTTTCTGCCAGCTTGGAAGGGCAACCCCGTGACTGATTGCGATTCTGAGGATGTCTATGCAAAGTTGGATTCTTGTTACAGTGTATCCAATCTGAAGTATTGCACATCTGAACTGGGACTGTTAACACTGTTGCCAATACAGTGTGGGGTGCCAGAAAGTGTCTGCTGATATTTGTGGGAAAAAAAAAAATCTATTTTGTTTACCTACTGTATCTAAGGGGAGTCTGGGAAGAACGGTAGTATTTTTTTTTATCAGCTGTGAAAAAAAATGTTACAGATCTGCACATTTTTGTGTGTACTGTTGTGTGTGTGTGTGTGTGTGTGTGTGTGTGCGCGCGCGCGCGCGCGCGCGTGTTTAAGTTTAGTTTTTTTTGTTCTTATTGGTTGGCAGTAACAGATTTTGATGACTAGCTCTTTAAAATACAGTACAAAGACTTCACAAATGTGATTCAGGGCCCCCAGCACCCCTGTGTCTGCAGAGTGCCTTCAAAACTCAGCTGTTCCAGCCGGTGCCAACCTGTGAACCTCCCACCCTATCCCAGAATCTGTTATTCCCCAAACCACTTCCAGTTTCCTTTCAGTAGTCTTTTCGAAGGAGCCAGGACAATAGGGCCTGTTGTTCGGTGAATTTCTTCTTTATTATTTCCAGTCTTTAAAATGTAATTTCCCTGTCTTGCAATTTTTTTACCTTTTTTTTTTTTTGCTTCATTTTGTTCAAATGTTCAGGTATTTAGCTCCCCTTTTATATTATTTTTCAATTTTTTTGGTTATCAGTTAATAGGGTGTTCCTCCAGAAGCAAAGAGCATAATTTTCCTGTTGTGATGTACCAAGAGAATTCTAACTGATTGTAATTTTTAATTCCAGACACGAGTTTAATCATTGTCTCTTCATTTTAAGACTTTTAATACAAATGTCATTTTTAAAGAAATGAACCAAAAACTATTGTTTGTGTTTCTGTGTTTTATATTCAGTGATTTAATACTGTATCTTGGCTGGGTTGGACAGGGGCAGGTGTTACATGATGTCCCCAAGAGCTGTTGGTCGAATTTTGAAGACAGATGTATCTCACTGGCAAGTTGGGTGACATCACTCCCAACTTCTTAAATATGGGAAAAATCATCAAAGTCTAGTTAGCCCTGGGGTGTGGTCATACAATCTGACTACAAGATAAGCAAGATATTGAATCTCTTCTGCTGGAATGGAGCAGATAACCTCACAGTAGGTAAGGAAAGGAGAAACTAACTGCTAATACTGCCTTATATCTGGGAAAGTAACCAACTACTACCTGACCAGGCACACAGCACTTTTAATTTGTTTTGTTTAAATTAGGTTACGTACGAAGTCAAGATGTTTGGGGAAGATGACTTCCATTGTGAAGTCATACCTAGCCGCCTAGTAGTGTTTTCTGCAGTGATTTGTATGGGTTGTACACAGTATCTCAACTCCTGAGGTTTTTGATTTGAAAATATATCAGATTTAAAAAGAAATAAACTAAGGTAAAAAAACACTCTGCTCTCATTACAGATTGTGGACCATTTTGACCTCATAAAATTTTCCTTCTAACAGTAGGAGGCAGTGTGAGCTTTTTATTTTCTGTTTTATTTTTCTCAAAGGCCACTTTACTGATATTACCTCTGTAAACTAAAAGGTATATGGCTCCAAATCAAGAGCATTTGACATACCTGAAGTCAGTGAGTGTAGATGAAGTCTTCTTATGGGTCTTTTGTCAAAGAGATTTCTTCTGTTGAGGAAGCCCAAAGAAATTATAGGCCACAAGTTTCTTTAAAGCAGTATTAACATGTCTTGCCTTAAAATGTGTCCTTTGCCCAGGAAGACATCTCGGTCAGTATTCCAGGGTGGGGGAGGAATAAAGAACTTTGCCTGCGGTGGTCCTGTGGCCATTTTTTTTCATTCTTGATCTCACCTAAGTTTAGTATCAAACTCAATTAGAAGGTACCATGTATATATATGTTCTCCATAGAGAAATTAAGGGAAGCTACTCAAATACATGCCTTTGCAAAGATTCCCTCTTGCATTTGAGTACATTTAGTTGTTTCAGTAGATGTAAAGTATTGAAAATTCTGAATACATGTATCAAGTTCATGAAGAATATTTTTTAAAAGGCATCTGTTGACTCTTTTTTTTAATGGTCTTTTTTTTTTGGAAGCCTTTGACCTAAAATGGTGCCAGATATCTTAAGAAATGTATATACTCCTGATGGAATACTTGAAAATGGAAAATTGGAAATGAAATAAATGGCTGGTGCATTAATCATCTCTGCACAGGATTTAGTCACTTGTATGACTAAATTCTTAATAGGTCTAAGATGGCAGGGTAGGAGAATTTAATATGCTTTTACTTACTACTGTCAAATAAATGCTTTTTGGATTCTCAATGAAAGCAATTTTTTGTGTGTTCCTGGAGGAGGAAAATAGTGGTTCTTAGTTTGGTAGCTTTATCCATTATGTTCTTGACAAAACTGAGAGGTGAGGGCCTTGTTTTACAGAATATGTCAATTTATTTGGCTAGTAAACTTCTTGTATTAGTAGGGTGTGAAGAGATAGAGCATTTGTTTCCTTGAAAAAGTTAGGCTGACTTGAGTGTTAAAAGAAGGGAGGGAGGGGAAGGAGTTTGCTCTAAGGCAATCACCTGTCAAAACATACTGGGTGGGAAAGGAACCTTTATCTTGGGGAGCAAAATTTAACTTAAACTTGATCCCTGCTGTTTTTTAACAGCTTTTCCTTTTGGCCCCGATAGTCATTCAGGCTTATGTTATAGCAAAGGATTATTTTTGTACTCCTTTTGTAATAGCCTTAGAAAAGTTGAAGGTACCATCCTAAGTCTAACATTTTTGTGTTTGGGAGTTTAGCGGTTCTTAGGTACGACAATTTCCACCATGTTGTTAACTGTTGAAGTAGACTTCAGTGAATCACATTTTGGGAAAAGACCTAGCTGGGGTTAGAATTCTTTAAATGTACGAGGCTCTCTGCTTCCTGATCAGTTAACCTTTCCTGTAGGTGGGAATCTTAAAATGCCTGACCTATGCCAACTGTTCAGGTAGTTTTATAAATGTTTTCACCAGCATGTGATTGTACCTCTTTTAAATACCCAGTATTTCTTATAGGCGTGATGGGAAAGTGAGAGGACATCATATGTAGCAGCTGGTTTTGAGAAATATACACAAAATGCCTGCACCTTAACTGTCGATAAAAGAATATACTTTTTACAACATGAAGGAATGTGAAGGAAACAAAGATTTAATTTGGAGATCACCACTCTTGGTTAAAATGATGCCAGACATTTGTCAAAGTGTCTACTTAACTGGGAAAAGCTTGCTAATAGAACTTTTGTCCTTTTGAAAATGCATCAAATTTTTAAATACTACTAATAGAATGTGGTATTCTTGATTTTAGTTTACTCAGACGACTAGGAATAATTGAATGCTAGTTGTAGAAGATATATTTGATCTCATAACAGTACGATATTGATAGTTCGAGAAGGCTTTAGGAGTCATCTAGTCTGGGGGTTCTCAAAAGACCAACTATCAAAATTACCAGGAGGGTAAAACAGTTTCTTACTGAGTATGTCTGGATATGATCTTGTAATTTTCATTTCCAACAGGTTTCCAAGTGATGGTGATAATGCAGCCACAGCCCTTTGAGAAACAATGATCTAGTCCAAATTCCAAATAAGTACTATAAGGACAGCCATGTAGTTATTTAGGAACATAGACTTAAGACCCATGCCATCCATTTGAGAGTGCCGCCTACCTCAGAGTCCTAGCATACCTTGATTGGAAATCTATAGCTGAAGAGGATATATATCATTGACATAAAACCTGTTAAGTTGTTGGATGTGAATAAAATGGGATAAACTTTGCAGGTAGAGTGATCTTTTTTTTTTTGCATTTTGGCAGGGACTTTCAGCGTTAATTCAGAAGTTGTCCAAAATAAGACAGTGATTAGGATAGGGCAGGGCCTGCATATTCAGAATCAACATGTTTTCCCTCCAATTGTTTCTAAAGAATATCATTGATAAAAGGGAATACTTTGTCTTTTCTTCCAGATTGAAAGGCAAGAATTTAGACTCTTCGCACTTCCTACTAAGGATTCTAAAAAAAAAAATTGTATACGAGTATTTAAATCTTCAGGTCATGGTAAACCCATCTGTGTGTCTATAAGTATATGTGTATGTATGTAATTACACTTAATTTCTTAGACTTTTCAGGAATTAGGCAATTGAATGTCATGTAGTTGTACAGTTCTCTATCCTGGGACAACACATAACATAAAACTGCCACGTGTCCTGTTTTTTTATGCATCTTAGTCATTTGAAATGGAGAATGTTGACCTGTTTGTAAGTTGGATGGAGCAGGTATCCATAGTATTCTTTGATATTAAACAGAAATCTTTGAGGAAGTGTTTTCCTTAGATTAGCAGAACAGAAATTATGTGGGGTTTTATTTTTTTGTTTTGTTTTTTGTCCAGTTGACTAATCTTGCTGTTTTTAAAATAAATTATCTGGCAAAACTATGTGGAGCTAAGTTTATCAGAGGTTTGAAAATGTGTGGTTGGTTTATTTGTGGTAATTGGACAAATGTAGCAAAAACTTTTTTAAATAGGAAAGAGAAAGATCATTGATACATTGAGAACACAGGTGCCCAAAAAAGGCCTGAGATTGTTTCTTCATTGTTAACATGATTGCAGTGGAACTGAAACTGAATAGCTGAAATTGATTCATTCATTATTCAACAAGCATTTATTGAGCAAATGATGTGTAAAGACTAAGCTTACATGGAAGGAAAACAGGCAAAAGAGCAACAACTTTGTGCTTTTACTACCACAGAACTGTGAGAATAAGATATATTAACCAACAGGAGTATATGGAAAGGCAGAGCTATACATGTCATCAGTTATAGTACCATTTGTGGGTCTGTCTGGCAAGCAATAAAATAGTAAATTTGTTGAAAATTGGGTTTTTACTTTGAAAGATAGGTGGACCTTGCAAACAAAAATGGATCCTGTGAGATTTAAGTAACTAATAGTTGTTCGGGTGCATGCAGAACTCTAATTTTGTGCGTCATTTCCAACTTCTCTTTTGAGATTAGCTAACATTGAACATTTTGAAATAGGAAATCAGTTTGCTTTCACATTTTCATGTGAAAGGCAAGAGGGGAAAATGGAGAAAAAGACATGAAATTTATTCACTGTCTTTTTTAAATGAGGAAACAGGAAAGAACAATTTAGGTTATATTCATAAAGAAAGAAGCAGTTGTTGGCATATAATCTTTTAGGGTTCTTCATGTAAAGAAGATTCAGCGTAGGGTATTTCTTTTGTAAAAGATAATCCTCTAAAAATTAGTGTGCCAAAGAATTAAGCTGATGTTTTAAGTTTGCTAAGCTTGTAGTTACTTTATACAAAAGCTTGTTCTCACGCCTTCAGTGCTTATTGGATGGAAGGAGGCAACCAGCTCAGAGAAAGATATGGTGGGCAACAAGTTGTAAGAAGTAACAATAATAGTAATTATTACAAAACCATATGAAAAGAAGGGAGTTATAATTATTAGCCTCCTGCAGTTTGCAAAACAATTTCTAGTCACTGTTTTATATAGACTCGTGAATTTAACAACATACTTTTTAAATGCTGAAAGTTACAGAATTACAGAGATCATCTGAAAGTACTTCATGTTTATTTTTTTAAAATCTAATTACTACAGAACCATTTATGAGATGTAAATTTATTAATTATAGTTTTATAACTTCAGTAAAGGTCTTAATATTTTATATCTGTGATCTGACCATTTATAAAATGTTTTCAAAATCTAATTTTAGTCATGAACTCAGAATATTTTAACTTATTAAATAT